CTACCTAAAACACACACCTGCTGCTCTCATTTACTGCAGCTAGTGTGCTTGAAAAATTTATTTTTAGAACCCAGGTTTGCAGTGTGAACCATTGACCTAATTACTCCCTAACACAGAGTACTGCAACTACATGTAGTGTGCTTAAATTTATTTTTAGAATCCAGGCATGCAGTGCTGCTTTACACAATAATTTGGAATAAATAGGCCAACAATGTAAAATTTTCTCACATAATCATGATGATGTTATTTACAGGTACTTGGGAATTGGTTTATAAAAATGCATGTTTTTCAAATGTTAGATTATAAGTTACTTAACATAATGATAACGCTTAAAGTAAAATTGTGTGAATACATGGATATAGTTAGGCGGATCTTAAATTTAGATGTCTAATGTTTATTACTTTTACTGGAGGTTGTTTCTTAAAGATTGTAGCTTATGTTTATATTTTACAATTTTTTTCACTGTTACTTTTTCTCTCTTTTTTAACATGATCCCCCTCCTCTTTTTTCACTTTATTGTAGTTTTTTGTTTCTTAATGGAACACTAAGATCTATTTAGAGTTATGATAATTATAATTTAAAAACTAAAGTGAAGTCTTTTTAAGAATTCAGTTGACTTAAAAAGATTTGAGATAAACCCTTAAACTTTATTTACTTTCGGAGATGTGGGGTAAATTGAGGCCCTTTCAAATTTAAGCAGATGTACTCAGATCACTATTCGAAAAGTTGAATTTTTTGTCAAATTATGTAATCTTATTTGTGTATTTACAAACCCAGAATTAAAATAAATTAAAAAATCTCATGTGAGATGGCATTGAAGCCCTTAATTTTTTAAGTGAACGTGGAGACCTGATATTCAATCTCTTTAGATGCAATATAAACTGAGTATAAGGTATGGTGTCCAGTTGTATGAAAAATCTCATCAAACCCGTGCGAGTCGACTCTCAGGCCCTTTAGGCCTTTGATTATTTGAAAATTAAAATAAGTACGCGACTATATATAGGCGTGTGCATATTATTTTAATTTTCAAATAAAAGTCAGTAAACGACAAAAGTGTAACGCTAAAAAAGAAAGAAGTCAAAACGGCAGTAACATAATATAATAATGATGATGATAACCATAATAATAACAAGAACAACAATAATATTGAACTATTTTTGTCTTTCACGAAATATTTCGATTTCGTGACAATACGATAAAAAACAGAGTAAAAGTTAAATTATCAAATGAAAAAATGTTACAAAACTGCCTAGTATAAACAAATGGAAAAAAAGATCGAAAACTCACTTTGAAATGATTTGATATTGAGCATTATTTAGTTAATACTGCGATTTCCAAAATTTACTGTAATAAAAAAAGAGTTTGAAAGTTTTAAAAATACACAATTATGTGAATATATTTGTACTAGGTTTCAAAGTCTTGCAGAACAGGGATTAAATTCACTTCATCGACTCCTGTGAAAAACGCAAACCAATATCCCAGGTAGCACAAAACGTTTTCATAACATTGTATTCCCGTTGTAATGATGTTATCTGAAAACGTTTTTAATAAAACGTTTATAAAATGTTTTTAAAACGTTTTATTTTGGTTGTAAAGACGTTATTAGAAAACATTCTTAACAATCATTTTAAAAATGTTTTTCATAACATTTTGTTCCTGTTGCAAGGAGGTTTTCAGAAAACATTTAGCATTTAACATTAATTTCTATAATGAGGAAATATCGTGTAGCTATAAATTGAATAGCATGATTAAAAAAAATCATACCTTTTGTAATAATATTATTATAAATTTCATGAAATACAAATGTTACCAAACAACATGAATACAACATTGTCTTAAAATGTTTGCAAAACATTGTAAAAACGTTACAGAAATACCAACTCCAAGCACCAGAAGTTTTTAACTATTTAGTGTAAGACGTTACATGTATATATATATAAAACTGTTTTCTTATAAATAGCTCCAAAGTTATGATTGATTTTGAGTTGTAAAAATAAAATTTAGACCCCCCCCCCCCCGAAAAAAAAAAACGGAAATGTGTTCATATTTATCTCTTATACCATTGTAAAAAATATTTATATATAACAAGGAGAGTAAAAAAAATTCTAAAAAATTATTTGTTCAACAAAGTTACTGAATTAAATAATTCAGTGGAGTCATTTATTTGACTTCCCCATTCGATAATGTGTTTATCGAGAGTTAATTGAGTGACACAGCGGGATGCCATGGCCAGGGCTGATGCAGCCGATCCTTGTTGCAAGCTATTTCCATGTGATCTATATAGGTCAACAGAATCACAATTTTGAAAAACCCGGCGGCATTCTTGTAAGACAAAGTAAAAGGAATAGGAGAATATCTTACAAATGTCAACGTATGGTATGTTAAATTTTAAATAGTATTCATTCTGTATAGTTAGCAATCATATTGTAGCTGTATAAATACATATGCATTTAGAATCTTAGATCTTTCATTCTCATAGACTTAGGTGTATATATGTTTGTTGAGTTGAATTTATAAAGTTCATATTGGCATTTGAATTAGGCGGGCGATTTATTGTTTGAAAACTTGGGTTTATTTACATGTATTAAAAATGTGTGACGGGTTTCAAAACATAATTAAAACATAGTTGGGAATAGGAATGGGTGTGGGAAGGGGTCTTAACAAGACAGGGTTAAATAATTCTTAAGAGATGTAAAATGATTTGTTAGATTTTTCCGAATTTGTGTTATGTTTTACAGATCGAATACGATGCCACGTTAAACCTATTTTCTTTTTGAAGGGAAAGGAGAGGAATTAATTAATCAATCTTAGGCTTGATTATATATTTGCTAGCAATCAAAGATTTTGAAATCCACATTCTTCATGATAAAATATAACACTCATTTTAGATGAATGCAATGGTTTCAATGCAGGACAGAGATATGAGGACAATGATACAAACAAATTGCATGGGTCAGTTCACTGAGGCTGGACAGAGAGTTGAAAAGTGCACCCTTTTAAAGAATTATTAAAAGTAAGTTTTATTACCATTAATGCTAAGAAAATGCATCAAGATTCAGTTAACATATCAACTTATAAATCATTGGAAATGTATACAGCAAACAGAAAACGATATAAATACTAGTAATGTTGTTTTATTTTCATTTAACTATTAAACATAGGCGTCGGAACCGGGTCTAGGGGTTGGGTGCTTAGCCCCCCCCCCCTTTTTTGCAAAGTTTGACATAATAGAGTTAGTGAAAATTCGGGCTTACCCCCCCCTCCCCCCGAAAAAAAAGTTTTTGTTGATTTAGCCCCCAACCCCCACTTTTAATTTGCTTCCGACGCATTTATTAAATATGTTTATAGTTTATACATTTACTTATTTACATTTCTTATAATTAATTTCACATTACATTTTAATAGCTGCTGCTTACAAGGCTTACAAAGCATCAAAGACAATCTCTTACGATTTAATGAGAGGTGGGACGAAGAGGTTTGATCCATACCTTCCTGGAGGAATTTATTAAATATGATAAGGTATGTTTGAAATTGGTTGTCAGAAATATATAGATATATTTACACGTAAATTTTTGTTCATTAATGCAACTGTATACCAAAACATACTTTCTTTGTGTTTATCAGATTTTTATACACTAGTATGTGTTGTTAGTTGTCAGATGTCCTAATACATGGATATGTTTAACTTAAAAGAAATGTACGAGTAAGAATGGGTAATTATTTAGTCAAAGTTTTATGTCCAAATCTTTGTTTTTCAGAAGAAAATAGAGAAGTCCAAGTGTACAACAGATTAATTTCTAATGGAATAAGGATGCTGTGATCTTTTCGTATTTCAAACAATACAAATTTCATTTGAAAGAAGACTGTAATTTTATTGTGCAGGTGTTAAAAAACAGTGTTAGACAACATTAATGAATGGATTTAAATTTATTAAATTATAATAAATATATTGTTTATTATGTTGTAAAATTGATTTTTTAAATGTTTTAAAAACGTTTTAAGAAATGTTCTCAAAACGTTTTTAAAAATGTTTTCAAAACGTTTTTAAAAATGTTTTTAAAACATTACAGTACAATGTTTTTGCAAAACGTTATAATAACGTTTAAAAAACCACACAAAATAACGTTGTAATAACGTTTTAGAAAATGTTTTCATAACATTTTCATAACGTTTTTGTAACGTTTTAATAACGTTGTTGTGCTAACTGGGATGGGACTGATGTTGAGATGGAAACTACAGTAAGTACATAAACATTTAAGGTTAAGTTTTGTCTTAAGTAAATATGTTTCCCCTTTCAAGTGAATATTTGGTATACACACAGTCATTCATTTTTTTATTTGTTCTCAAATTAATCCCTATACTTCTTTTAGATTCTTTTTTATGTAACAGCTTATAGCAAACTACAGTTTATTTCAAAATTTATATATGAAGAGAGGAATTTCAACTACATAAATTTCTTTAAGGAAAATTTTGTTAAAATAATGTATCATGGAGAAATGTTTGCTATATATAGAAATCATTCCAGGAGTGGAATGGGGAATTTGAATTCCCTTCTGAAGCTTTTGCGTACTTTTATGCCTTTGTAACTCTGTATTTTAAATACACGTACTAGTATGTGGTCATTGTAAGACTACCTATATATTAAGGATAAAGGTTTCTGTAAACATGGTAAAAAATCAATTGACAGAATTTTTAATCAAGGTCCGAAAATCAGCAAATTCTATATTACTGAATAAGTGTTCAAACTAAAAACGCTGGGCTGTGCATTAACAAGAATTGGATGTTTTACACATGATATTGACGCATAATCAGGTATTGACGACCAGAATAGTAGTGTCTGTAGTCTAGTGCAATAAGTATACAGAGATATCTACAAAAATATACAAATAAATCTGATGAAAGGGGTGGGGTTGGGATGGGGATAAAACCAATCAAGATATTGTGCATGAAACATTATGCTATAAATTCGGTCATTTTTTGTAATATTTTTTTTTTCACAGGAATTAGATGTATTAGAGTGCAGTAGCATAGCTGGATCAAGTACTACTTTCGAAGAGGCGCATTGCGATTTGTCTTTTGAGAGTAGTTTTGAAAATACATTTAATCCCAATGAAAAACTGTCATCAAGGACAAAGAAAACATCAGGTGTGTAAAGTTCTTTAATTGCTATCTGAATGGTAGTCATTTTTAGCTGTATATTCTTGGAAAAAAATCATTTCATAAAGACACTTTTTAATTTATTTAATGAAACAAATCGTGTATTGAAGTTTACATGTACGTACTATGTTTTGTTTAATTCTAGTGAAAATATTATCAAACCAGCAAAAGTTACTAAAAAAAGCCTTATCAACTGCCGTGAACTGCCTCATAAGATCAAGAAGCTGCAGATTGTCCTGTCTTTCAGGAATATCAGTTGATTTTGTGAAGCGAGAAAGAACAAAAGTCTGGACAAAGAATTTTGAAGGCAGGGTAGAATGGTTCTCTGATAAGTATTCAGAGGCCATTAACAAAGAAAAGTCAATAAGATTTACAGCTGAAGATGGAAAACAAATATGCTCAAAATGTTTTCAAAACTTGTACAGACTTGATAAGTCCTTCTATTACAAATACGTTGCCAATTTTGAGCATGGTGCAGTTTCAGCAGGATATCTGAATGTTAAAGAACATCACACAACAACAGAGAAAGCAATAGAATGGATGAGTGATTTTGCTTTGTTTCATGGGGATCAGATGCCTGACAAAGGGGTTATTCTTTTGGCTTACAAAACTAGAAAAATAGACATTTATAACCAATATGTTGAAGAAGAAATCGAAAAAATGCAACGAAGTGTCTCCAAGGCAAACTTCTACAAAATCTGGAAGGAGAAATTTCCACATCTGAAGATAAAACAGGTAAAACTGCAATATTCTTTGCCTTTAAATGAATTTTTCTGCAATAATTTAATTAAAAATTAAGAACATTGCAAGAAAATTTGTATGCAAATTTTAAAAGACATATATCCTGACTTATCCATAAAAACTAGAAAATCAAAATGACTTTAAGACCAGTATAGAGCCAATTTAATTTAATACTTTGTTTCCTCAGAAACCAGATCACAAATTACATATTAAGTTTATAGAAAATGTACACTTAATGTTCTGTAAATGTACAAGATACTTTCTTTACTGGCATTTACAATTCAGCATTTCTTGTACTGCCTTTTTTTTCACATATTCAAGCACTGGCTAAAGCTTGATTTTAAAAAAATATATATCATTTAATTGTAACATTCATAGACTATTTAAGGTTTGCGGTATTCAGATGAAAAGGAATTTTTTGTTCTTTGACAATTATATCAACTCCTTAAAATAAGTTTGTTAGCATTACTGTAACAATATTGTGCATGCTCTTAAATTTATCATTATAATCTACATTTTTCGTATTATATTTTTAGACCAACTCTTTTTCAAAGTGTAACACGTGCACAAAATTGGATTCTCAGCTCCAGGCGACAAGAGATCCCTTAGAGCGTGAAGAAATAAAGGGTCTCATCAAAGCACATAATTACCGACAGATGTAAGTATAAATGGAAACATAAGTAAATAATTCAATTTCGTTTGTTATGCAACATTTGATTGGATAAAAATTATAATTTATATCGTATAACCTGTGTTGCCTACATCACAATGACACGTCAAAACGTATTAATCCGCTTGACGTTACATTTGAAATATGCACAATTCGAAGACATTTTTGAAGGAGAAATTGTAACATTTTCTTGATTTGATGGAAAATTAATTTAAAGGAATGAATTTAATAGCTACCCAAGTTATACTGGTATAACTTGGGTTAGAACAGTCTACGCTCTTTTTTTATAAACCGATTCGCGATTTATGAAGCGTAAACTGCCCCAACCCAGGTTTAACAGTATAACTTGGATAGCTATTAAATTCATTCCTTAAATGAATGAATGTTGAATATAGACATTTAAATTATGAAAATTTATTTTTAATTTTCCCTACGTTTTGTTTAGTTTCCCAGGCTCTAAAAGTCTTTTAAGCACATGTGAATCAGTTTTACAAACAAGAGGCCCATGGACCACAATGTTCACCTTAGTAGCATTGGCCCTGTTGTTCTTCACCTGATTTCCCTCCTTGTAATACCAATTGTAGCCCCGCCCTACCCCCAAGGGCCATGATTTGAACAATTTAGAATCTACACTACCCAAGGATGCTTCCACATTAGTTTCATCTTTGCGTGCCCTGTATTTCTTGAGAACAAGATTTTAAAAGATTTTCCTATATATTTCAATGTGAAAATTGGATTCCCTATTATGGCCCCACCCTACCCCCAAGGGTCATGATTTGAACAATTTAAAATCCACACTACCCCAGGACGTTTCCACATAAGTTTCAGCTTTTCTGGCCCAGTGGTTCTCAAGAAGAATATATTTTTTTTTTACATAATTCAATGTAAAACTTAGATTCCCTATTATGGCCCCGCCCTACCCCCGGGGGTCATGATTTGAACAATTTAGAATTTACACTACCCTAGGATGCTCCCACATAAGTCTCTGCTTTTCTGACCCAGTGGTTCTTGAGAAGAAAATTTTTAAATGACTCCACCCTATTTTTGTCTTTTCTTGATTATCTCCCCTTGGAAGGGGGCTTGGCCCTTCATTTTAACAATTTAAACTCCCCTTCACCCAAGGGTGCTTTCTGCCAATTTTGGTTAAAGGTGGCCCAGTGGTTCTCGAGAGGAAGTTGAAAATGTTAAAAGTTTACAGATGGACAGGTAGACGGACGGACAATGGGTCATCAGAAAACCTCACTTGAGCTTTCAGCTCCGGTGAGCTAAAAAAGTATTGCTACACATAGTATTATTTAGATTTACTGATAAATAAAAACGATGATTAAATTATGAAATGTTACACGCTTTCATTTCAATAGTAGGTATTTGTGCTTTTAAACAGCGGTATATGTAATTTCATTGATAAAATTAGAAACAAATTAATCAGAAAAAATAATATTTTACTTAGAATAAAACTGAACTATAGAGATAAGATGCATTTGAATTTCGAAGTTTTAATAGTTAATGGAAAATTAAAAGAAAACTATAAGTTTTGGTTTAAAAAATGTATAACTTGTATTTTAGGATGGAGAGAAAATATTATTATTCTAAACGGAATCAAGCGAAAGAAAATAGTCGAAGATATATGTCAATCATAATAGATGGGATGGATCAAAGTAAGTACATAAGTACTAAAATCTGTTCATTAATGCGTAATCATAATCAAATGTAGGATGCTCAATATCTGATCAAATTTCATTTTGCAGTGATTGTAATGAATGTTCTACTTTGCATTTATCCAATTTGTATGGCACTTTAATTCAAATTTTACAGTGAAAACGAACCTTCCTCACTTTCTTGGTAGACGTTCTAATGATTTAGATTTGGCGAATTTGTTGTCAACTCACATCCAGGGAGTCATAAATCATGGATTAGAGAAGTTTACTAAATACTTGGATATCAATGAATATGCCCATGATTCAAATATGGTCATTAATACAGTTTTAAAGGAATTATATGGAGCAAGCATGCAGATGGTAAATATTTACACTAATTACGAAAATAAAATCAAAGTACTGGATCAAATAATTACACTTGCTCAAAATTGTAATGGTATTTCAATATTACACTGTATATCTAATTGGCACAAATGAAATGTGATACAGCTGTATTTCTAGAATCCTTTCTAGAATCCATCGAATATAGCTAAAGTAATGAATATGCATTTCATACTTTTTACTAATGCTTTCTCGTATTTCTTAATAAACATCAATAAATGTATTTTCCAAAAAAGAAGAAATTCATGTCAAATACGTTTAACTTAAATTAAACCCCTGCTTTATTAAATAGGGTAACTTTCTTCCACCAACCCTGTATATTCAGGCAGACAATTGCTTCAGAGAGAATAAAAATAGATACACACTAGGATTTTGTGAACTGCTAATATGGAAGAATATCTTTAAAGAGGTTAGTATTTTTTATTGAACTTTTCATACAAGTATGATATATATTAGAGGTGCACAATAATATCAAACAACTTCTACCTGTCAATTTGATATGGCAGTTGTACACGTTTAAGTAGTCTAGGTCATGAAACCTAAGGGTACGCACATCTACTTCTGGCATAAGCTATACGTAACTTAACTTTAATATGTAAAATATATTTGATTTTACAATAAGAGAGATAAAATTGAAAAACTGACACAAACGTTTCTACCCATCTAAGACAATTTTTTTTTATTTCACGGTGTACTGTATTTGACAACTCTTGTTAGATGTAAGACGTAACACCTGAAAATTATATGCACCGTTCTTTGTATTTTATCGCAAATGTATTCTCTACTCTATTAGTACCTGTATACCTTTTGGCGATATCAAGTTTTACTATCATTCTTTGAAAAATTTGAAAAAAGTAAAATCTGATAAAATGGTGCAGTTTTAAAATTAAAAAAAGTAGATCTTAAGTCAATTTGTATGAAAATTATTATACATTTTGGTCGATACAAGCGATAAAAATTTTTGTGTCTATGTGCGTATCGAATGAATTGTAGATCCAACGGGCAGAGTGCAAAATTTTCATTTTTATAAATAATTTATATTAAATGTCTTGTATCCAATATAATAAACAAATGTATACTTGCTGTATTGTTAAATGTACTCTAAATAAACATTTCATTAGACAAGTGATAACCAGACTTTTATAATAGCTCTATAAAATTAAAACCGGATCCGTAAAAGTATGAACCTTCATTAAAACAATCTAGAGGATAGATTTTTTTCCGGAAACATAGCATGTACTATGAAGTCTACATATAGTTTACTGTTAATTTTTTTTCTATTGCAGTTTTCTTTCAGGAAAAATAAAATCAATTCCATCACCGAATCAAAACGATGTGAAAAATGAAAGCTAACAAGTAATATTTTACGTATTCTGTCTTGTAAGAATTTTGAATTATTATATTTATAATGCATTTTATTCTAGGTACATTTATCATTTCTCTTCGTTGGGCATACCCATGAAGATATTGATGCGGGATTCAGCAGAATTGCAGACCAGCTAAGAAGGAACGAAGCAGGAACTATTCCAAGGCTTCTATCGCTAATCCCCAATACAAGGCAACTGAGAGGATTGTATGACATAAAAAACTGGCTTACTCCGTATCTCAATCCTGTAGCTCATCACACCAAACCCCATCATTTTAGATTTCGCCGGAATGAAGAAAATAATATAATCACAGAATATAAAGGAAGCCATAACAGTCAATGGAAACAGCTCCAAGGGACCATTTTAAAACAAATGCCAAGAGGGTTACCTAAAATTCTTAAACCACAAAACTTCAACAAAATAAATATTGATGGCCTGGAAAGAAATATCAATCGATCAAAATTTCTGTTTTCGGATCAAACCCAATTTCAGTGGTGGAGGAGATTTATTGCCTATTTAAGGGACCTCCAATCCGACCCAAAGATGCAGTTAGAGTATGCCAAAGAACAAGCTCGATGGCTACTACCATTGCTCCCAAAGCAGAAAGAAATTTTCAATCTGGATGGACATACAGAGCCATCTCGAATTGATCCAGAACTGCATGAAATGGTGGATAAGGAGCTGGATGAACCACAGGTTAGAAAAACTCTTTTTTATATTAAAAGAAAACATTAGTTGATTAAACAAAAATCTTTTGATATACATTTTATTTGAACAAGTTTTACTTCTTTGACAAACTGAAAAATAAAAGTCATATATAATTCTTGTCATTGTTATACAATAGCAGTATGCATTGCAGGGTTCAAAATTAACTTTTGTAAGCACTAGTCCGTACGGACTAGTGACTTCCAGTTTTCACTAGTCCATAAAGCATTTGACTAGTCTACCTTTTGTCTTATGATAATGATAACATACCCGTGATAAACCTTCTTTATAACTTTAAACCACCCCCCCCCCCTCTATGTTTATGAGATAAAATTATTATTTTTGAATACAAAATTAAATTCTGATTCATCTGTAGCTACAGAAAAAAAGAATTGCAAGGTATCAAACATATAAATACTTTTTTATCACATCAGTAAAAAACAAATACTTAAACTTAGCAGTGATATACTTAAAAAAATTCCCCATAAATGTCTATAAACGGAGTATCAAAAAGTGTCAATAAACAATTAAAACAGTGAATAAATGTTTTTATGAATTGATTGTATCACTGAGTGAGAAAAAAAATGGAAAAAGGTTGGTTGACATTTTTTGGGCATTGCTGGTATTAGTCTCACCCCTGACCAATTATGTCCGTAATATTACAGATTGACAATTACCTTGATAACCGTGATCTGTGTGTGATTAAATAATTTTCTAATAATGTATATTGCATTTGTTTCTTTACAAATTAGGCCATTCCAAGTTTTTTCTCTGTTAGCGTCCACCCATCTTTCAAAAACCTACCTACCTATTTGCAAAAAAACACACAAACCAAAAAATAAAACACAGACTTTATACTCATAAAAATGGCGTCACTCGAAGGATTTGATTTCATGAATCTATTTTTCTCGTAGAAAAAAAAAAAAAACATTCTTCAGCAAAATCAAGGTATTCAATGCTTATATTATCAATATTCCTAATATGATATAATGTAGACAAATATTTTGAAAAATTGACAGAATTCAGTGATTTTGACCAGAATATTCAATTTGAGGACCCATGATTTTGTTTGTTTTTTTTTAATATGTAGTGTCAAAAACCAATTAAGGCGCACGCGGACACTAAACATAGAAAAAACTTGGAATGGCCTTATCTGTGATCATTTACCCGATGTGTTGCAACAATAACTTAATTATAAACTTTTTATTGCTTGAAGATACGATGTATCATTATATATATGTTACGATTTTGGGAACTTGCAGGCTGTAAAAACAGCTTTAAAACATAAGAAAATTTCAATACATGTACATTTACTATTTAAATAATTTAGGATGATTTTGTGAATGTCAATAATAATGCATGGCAATTAACCTCTTCCTGACGGCCACCTTCTCGGGAAAATCTGTCGTTTTAATTTTTTGGCAAAATCATCCCTGGTAATGCTAGCAACTTCAACTCTCTAAAGCTTGTTATTGTTTACATCGTTTTAATGATAAAACTGTAGACACTTTTGCTTAAACAGGCATTCATTTGAAAGAAAACATTGAGAAAAAAAATATACTAAGATTAAATTTATAGTCGGATTTTTCACTAGTCCGTACGGACGAGTGCTACATGAATTTGACTAGTCCGACACAATTTTTACTAGTCTCGGACTTACGGACATGAGCTAATTTCGAACCCTGCATTGTATTTGCATGTATTAGGATGAAGTGTATTAAAATCTTTTTAGTTTTGCCTATTTGTATATTGATAATAGATATCAAGACATACTTTTAACATGCTATGCATTTTTGATTTTCAAATAAAATATCTCTTTAGGTACAAATGCAAGTTAAAAGGAATGTACCACCGGCGAGCAGAGAGCGAAGGAAGGCTGGAACCGAGGCATCAAACACAGGCAAGTTTAATCATTTTTCGTCATGCGACATGCATCGTGCTTCATGCGTTTACTTTTAAACATTTTCAGTTTCTTCTCTGGAAGCGCTGAACTAATTTCAACCAACTTCCGCAAATAACATTTGTGGAAGAAGAGGAGTAAATATAATGAAATTCATGGCCCCTGCCCCCCCCCCCCCCCCCCCTGCCGTGGGCCTGATGGTTGGCGCTAAAACCATAAAAATAAAAGTGATCTATAAAGTCTTCTTTTATCTTTGACATAAAGCAATAATAGCATGATTGTAATAAGCATTGAGCCCTCTACCAAAATTGTGAAAGGAATGGGCCTAGGGTCAGGGGTTCTGGTACTAGGGTCTGGGTGGGACTCTATTTCTTTAAAAATCTTCTCTTCTGTTCCTGCGTATTCAAAAAAACAAACTAAATGTAAAGTAATAATGAGCAAGGGTGCCTTTTCCAAAATTGTGAATTCCTAGCTCAGTGTCAGAGGTTCTGATGTTAAGATGTTATGATTAAAGAAAATGTATTTAGATGAGTGAAAATAATAATTCTTTGAAATTCTTTGAAAATCTTCTCTGCTTTTGGGAATTAAGCAGATGAATTAAGTGCATGGTTATGATTGGTGAAGATTCCTCTTATAAAATTGTGAAAGCAGTGGCCCTAGACATTAGAGATATATCTTTGTGTACTTAATTGTTGCACTATGCAAGTGTCAAAAATATTTGTATATATTAAATACCACCAGGCAAGTGCCTCTTGTATTTGTTAACTTTGCATTCATTATCATCATTTTAAGACTTGGACGAACAAAGAATAATCGAAGGAGGTCGCTTGGGTCAATAGTATTGCAATAAGCAGGGTAATTTAAATTCTTGGGCAACAAAGCTTCATCTATCTATAGTTAATTTCGTTTCATACTTCTGTACTTCTATGGACTCTTTACTGTGTTGTATAATACTCAGGTGACCGTTAAGGCCCTTGGGCCTCCTTTTAAGACTTTTTACTTGTACTTTGTATTTAAAAGCTTAGCCAAAAATAACATTACTGGACCATTGGCGATTAAGTATTTTTTTTTTTTTTTATAAAATCTTGTAGTTAAGAAGACAGACAAACACTTACCATAGTTTTACATTATTAATTATTTTTCTTCACTTCAAGAATACTGTTAGGTTGTAAACAATACAATACGCAAGAGATTGTCGTTAACTAGCTCTCAGATTTGATTTTAGCTCACCTAAACCGAAGGCTAAAGTGAGCCTTTCTGATCAAAAGTTGTCCTCTGTCTGTTGTCATTGTCGTAAACATTTCACATTTTCATCTTCTTCTCAAGAACCACTGGGCCAATTTTTACCAAACTTGGCAAAGGTATCCTTGGGTAAAGGAGATTCAAGTTTGTTCAAACAAAGGGCCACGCCCTCTTCCGAGGGGAGATAACTAAGAAATAGTGAAAATTGGGTGGGTGTATTTAAAAATCTTCTCAAGAACCAGTGGGCTAAAAAGGATGAGATCTATTTGAAAGCTTCTTGATATAATGTAGATTCAAGTTTGTTCAAATCATGACAATCAAGGATAGGGTGGGGCCACAATGGGTGATCAAAGTTTTACATAAAAATATATAGGAAATATCTTTAAAAATCTTCTCAAGAACATCAAAGCTACGATTGGTGATATTTATATGGAAGCATCTTCAGGTAGTGTATATTCAAGATTATTCAAATCATTACCCCGAGGTGTAGGATGGGGTCACCAGGGGGATCAAAGTTTTACATAAGATTATATAGGAAAATATCGTTGAAAATTTACAGAAGAACATCAAAATCATGATTTATGATTTTTATGTGAAGCATCCGCATCAGGTGGTTTAGATTCAGTTTTGTTCAAATCATGACCCCTGGGGAGTAGGGTGCGCCACAATGGGGGATCAAATATTTACATAAGAATATATAGAAAAAAATCTTCTCAAGAACAGGAAAGCTATGTTTAGTCATATTGACATGTTGACACCTTTATGTAGTGAAAATCCAAATTTGTTCAAATCATTACCCCGGGGGTAAGGAGGGGCCACAATTGGGGATTAAAGTTTTACAAAGTAATATATAGAAAAAAATCTTTAAAAATCGTCTTCTCAAGAACAGCAAAATTAAAAGCCAAATTGATATGGAGGCATCCTCAAGTAGCATAAAATTAAAGTCCCCCTCCCCCAACCCCAAGTAATTTTTTTCAGTTTTTAATACTGAACTGATTTGTGCTTTTTTCCTATTCGATGTGCTCAGGTGAGCGTTGTAGCCCATGGGCCTCTTGTGTCACTTATCATTTATTGATATATGCAGAATTTTAACTTGCAACATTACTTATTTGGAGTTGATTCTATTGATTTACAGTTGTGTAAAGATGTAACTCTTTGTAGACAAGGGTCTTATAGGTTCTATTAAATTAAAAGTAAAAGATAAATCACTGACTATTATTGTTTCCTATTATTACTGCTGAGTGTCGTCTGCTTATGTAAATGATTGGGTACGAAGGATTTTAAAGGGATGAACATTTGAATGTCCATATGAACATTTCTTGAATTAAAAAATGCAATCACATTTATATATTGCAGAAACAGATGATAATACTTCAAAAAGAAATTCAGATTCAGTCAAAAAAACAGTCAACAGAAAAAAGAAAGAAAGAAAATTTCGGACAATATACCAAACATTTGTTTATTATTTTTCTAGAACAAGCATGTACAAACATGAGTACAACAATTTGTTATTTTACTTAATCCATGCTGTTTACACTTTATGCGCCATTTTCATTTTTTGGTCATTATTTCTGTGGCATTACAATATTTTACTGTTCTTTTTATTATGGGATCAAGTAGTTAGATGGCATATTTATGGCAGTGCTCATGTTTGTCTCTCACTTCTAAATATGTGTTCTTATTAATAATGATGAGTGAGAGCATGCACATTGCTATTCATAATTACTGGAGTACGTATGTAAACATAAGAAATTGCTTGTTTTCATCTCAACTAAGTTATAACTGAGCTTTTTTGATCTTACGTTGCCTGGACTCTGTTTGTCTGTAATCACTATCTGTCCAAATTATGACCACGGGAGGTAAGGCGAAACGACAATAGGAAAATGAATCTCTGATGTTTTTTGGAAGAAACACAGGACCACGAGTATTCTTATAAAATATAAGCATTATTGTGTTTGCCAGATTCAAAACTTTTCATGTTATGGTGCCCTGGAGTAGAAATAAACATAATTTGGAATCAATTTTTAAAAAAAAAGAACATGTGCAGAATATTTAGAACTAACAACAGGGCATTGATTTACTATACACTGTATATAAATATGAAAGCATCTTCAAGTAGTGCATATTCATGTATTCATATGGGTAAACTGGATAAGAGTCCCATTTGGAAATAGTTTTAGATAAAAATGCTTAGACAATAATATTCTACAGAACTCGTTAGTCATAATTACCAATTTGATATGCAAGAATACCAGTATTTTTCTGATTTAAGTTTGTTATTTCATGACCCCTGTGAATGTGGTGGGGCTAAAATAGGGTTTAAAACTAGTTAAGCATTTGAATTTATAGGCACTTTAAAATAATCTTATTTTGAATAGCCGGGTCACATTATTAATACATATACAGTGAAAACTGTCTAATCCGACACCTGTGCAATCCGTCACACTGTGAATTCCAACGTTAAATTTTGTTCTCATTTTTCTATTAACATTTTTTTTTTCACTCTGCAATCCGACACCCTGTCTATTCCAACACAAAATTTGTCTCCCATTGCATGTCAGATTAGACAGGTTTCACTGTAATATTATTTTTAAAACACTGCCAAATTGGGTGATATGATTTTTTAAAGTTATGGTCACTGAGGTTAGGATAAAGAGATAGAGATTCGTTCATTCTTTTTTCATTACAAACATTTATCCAGAATAATATTTTCATCCGATCTACAAGGTTACATGACGTTTATTCATGCATTTTGAAACATTCTCATATGCAGATTCAATTACCGGTATATTTACCTTTATGACAAGGTTGTATATATTGAGGTTCAAATTAGTTTCACAAGAAAGATGCATTTTCCTATATTTTTTTTTTTTTTTTTTTTTTTTTTTTTTTTTTTTTTGCCATATATAGTTATGCAATATGATAAGATTAAGTCCTCGTTTTTCTTTTCACAAATCACAAAATTTTTATATTGATTGTCCATATCGAAAAAAAAAGTGTTTTGCTTAATTAAAAAAAATAGATATAAGTTAGGTATCATAAATTTGATTATATTCTTTGTGCATTAAATTTGTAATTGCAAGATGTGTGATTGTATATATTGTATATATTGAGATTTTACATAGTACAGTTATGCAGCATTTTGTGTATTATCCTGTAAAATGTATATACCATGAAAATGTAAAGAATTTTTTTCGCCTCAGGTTTTTTTTTATTTTGCTTTTTATATTGGGGTATTTTTTTCTATGATTAAATATAATTTGAACATATTAATCTTTTATAAGATGAAATGTGATTTTATTTTAGCATTTTGCTATGAATCACGCGACTGTACGTAATAGAAAGTCTTAAGTGTAAGACATTTACTTTGTGTAATTTACTGGGTTTCCTTTCTGTCTATTACTAACAACACCATAGAGAAAATTTATTCCATAGACATCATATCTGTAGCAAGTTTAAATAAAATCATTTGTGTTTGGATATTTTTGAAGTTCAAAATTTAATTGTCTCAAGGAAAGTTTACCCTATGGAACTAAATTCGTACATCGATTTTATGCGTTTGAAATCTATCGTGGTAATAGAACTTTATCAATGATTTTCTTTAGGGGAAAATTTACTTCGTAAAGTTTTGCTATCATCAAATTTGTTACAATTTTGGTCTGGATTTTATTCGCTTTTTTATGTGTAGTGATTACTGTATCAGTGATTTTCTTTGGGGGGAAATTTACCCTGTAGATATTTGCTATCTTAAAGATGTTGTTGATTATAAATACTGTATCTGTGTTTTTCTTGGGGGGAAATTTACCCCGTAAAGTTTTGCTATCATCCAGATGGTTGATTTTGCTTTAAATTACTGTATATAAACTGTATCAATGTCATGTTTGAGAGGAAATTTACCCTGTAGAGTTCAGCGATTTTCAAAGTGTAATGTTCGCTTTTATTTAATAAGAGTAATGAATACTGTATCAGTGATATTCTTTTGGAGGAAATTTACCCGTAAAGTCTTGCTATCTAAAGACAGTCGCTTTCGCTTTGAATTACTGTTTATAAACTGTCATTTTTGAGAGGAAATTTACCCTGTAGATTTTTGCTATTTTCAAAGTGTAATGTTCGCTTTTTCTATGAGTATTAGTGATATTCTTTGGGGGCGATTTACCCCATAAAGTCTTGCTATCTAAAGGATGGTTGCTTTTGCTTTGAATCACTGTACATAAACTGCATCAATATCATTTTTGAGAGGAAATTTACCCTGTTGATTTTTCTTGTGTTTAAGATGTTAAGAATCATAAATACTTTATCAGTGGGTTTTTTTTTTTTGGGGGGGGGGGGGAATTTACCCCGTAAAGTTTTGCTATCAGAAAGATGGTAGCTTTTCTTTTGAATTACTATGTATAAATTGTAGCAATGTCATGTTTGAGAGGAAATTTACCCTGTAGAGTTCTACGATTTTCAAAGTGTAATATTTGCATTTTATAAGAGTAGTGAATACTGTATCAGATATTTTCTTGGGGGGAAATTTACCCCATCAAATCTTGCAATCATCAAGATGGTTGTTTTTACTTTGAATTACTCTATGTAAATTGTATCAATGTCATTTTTGGGAGGAAATTTACCCTCTAGAGTTCAGCAATTTTCAAAGTGTAATGTTCGCATTTTACAAGAGTAGTTAATATTGTATCAGTGATTTAATTTTTTTTTTTTTTGGGGGGGGGGGGGAAATTTACCCTGTAAAGTCTTGCGACCATTAAGATGGTTGCTTTTGCTTGAATTACTATAGAGTTACTCTGTAGAGTTCTGCGATTTTCAAAGTATAATGTTTGCTTTTTTAGAAGAGTATTGAATAATGTATCAGTGATATTCTTTGGGGGGAAATTTACCCCGTAAAGTTTTGCTATCTAAACATTGGTCACTTTCGCTTTGAATTTCTGTATATAAACTGTAGTAATGTCATTTTTGAGAGGAAATTTACCCTGTGGATTTTTGGGTCTTTAGGATCTTTAGGATGTTGTGAATTATTAATACTGGAGGTGTGTTTTTCTTTGGGGGGAAATTTACCCCGTAAAGTTTTGCTATCATCAAGATGGTGGCTTTTGCTTGAATTACTATAAATAAACTGTATCAATGTCATGTTTGAGAGGAAGTTTACCCTGTAGAGTTTTGCGATTTTCAAAGTGTGATGTTTTTTTATGAGTTGTAAATACTGTAACGCTGATATTTTTTGGGGGGAAATTTACCCCGTAAAGTTTTGCTATCTTTAAGATGGTCGCATTTGCTTTGAATCACTGTATGTAAACTGTATCAATGTCATTTTTGAGAGGAAATTTACCCTGTAGACTTTTGCTATCTCTAAGTTGTTGTGAATCATAAATACAATAACAGTGATTTTCTTTGGGGGGGGGGGGGGAATTTACCCCGTAAAGTCTTGCTATCATCAAGTTGGTTGCTTTTGCTTACTGTATATAAACTGTACCAATGTCATGTTTGAGAGGAAGTTTACCCTGTAAAGTTCTGTGATTTTCAAAGTTTAATGTTTGCTTTTTCTATGAGTAGTAAATACTGTATCAGTGATATTCTTTGGGGGGAAATTTACCCCGTAAAATCTTGCTATCAGGAAAGGTTAAGTTTGCTTTTATTGTGATTAACTAATACTGTATCAGTGATATTCTTTTAGGGGAAATTTACTCCATGATCCTTGCAATCACTTTATTGTACATATGTCAAATTGTCAGTATTTCCTCTAAATATTTACATTTCAGTTTGTGACTTTAGATCGTCTTTCTATTAGAAAAATGCTGATTTTTTTATATTCTCATCAATAAATATCTTGTAAAACTGTGTTTTTGTTGAATTTTGTCAATACCTAAGGGCAAAATGCTTAAAACAGAAAAAAAGATTTTCTGTTTTGATTTTGGAATGCGTTGACTTTAGATGGGATACAAATTTCATTTTTTTCACAGGTCACGAGGTTTCAACTTAAAAAATAAAAATTCTCACCGTTAAGATATGTTGGAAATTTTAGCTTGATGTGTTGATAATTTGCCAAATTATTATGTAATAAAGGGGACTTTATATGATCACCCGGCGCTGTCGCTTTAGTTCAGTCTTCACAACAATTCTTTTTCAGCACATGCCCTTCGGGCATGTAGACCTATCATTTTTACCCAGCCCATTCAAATTTGTACATGTCCTACTCAAAATTCTTACATTTACCAGTATTGTGCAACAAAAAAAACCCATTAGGTATAAAGGTTTTGTATTAATTTTTTCAGCGTCGTAAACCAACCATGGCCTGTGATTGCCATTTTCTAAAGCGTTTTTGTTCATAAATAACTTTTGAGTTGCATGCTGGTCATTTGTTGGCCGGTTTAGCTGAACTGAATTTCAGAAATGGGATCATGACTGTAGTGCCACAGTATGTGGCATTGATGAACATCTCATAATTTAGCAAGCAACTTTGAGAAAACAAATAGGTTAAACTAAACACTTCAATGATTAGATTGACAATCATTTGACAGGTCGTATCGAGAATGTAGACAGGCAATCCATCGACATTACATATAGCAACGTTTAAGTGAATAATGGGGGTAGGACAGAGTAAATGGCAAGTAAAGATCGTACAATGAAAGAAGATTCACATATGCCCTCTTCGGACATGTAATTTGGCAATTTTTACATGCCCGGCTGCAAATTTAACAGGTCCCTGGCATTGGACTCCCGGGTTATTTGGAAGACTGTTAGTTTAGATTCATGAGGTCCGACAACATTGATTCTCAATGTCTGCTCCCTCTACCCCATACACTTATCTTGATAAAATTACATAAATTATATTATTAATTATATAAATTGATATAAATTATATAAACCGGTCTTGTTTATATAATTTTACAATGTCATAAACAGCTGCTTAAGTGCATATAATATTGTATTTAGCCCGTAGGAGTTTATTATCTACCACACATGATCAATGTCACTTTTGGACGTGAATGACTTTTGACACCCTAACTTCAGTTCAAATCAACGTTAACTTTATGTGACGTCTCTCTGAATCTTTTTTGGCATGTAACTTGGGTAAAAACAATTAAGTACTCTTGATGCATTTGATTTCTCTTAGCCCGTTTAAACATTTCCAAGGTCTATACCAGTTTTTGCAGGGGCAAAACTATGTAGAAGTTGGAAAAGAAACCCATCCCCTTTTTGACGTATTTGGTTTTCGAGGGGTGAAAATTTTACTACATGCAATATTTATTATACTGAATGTTTTATACAAATACAAATAATAGTGAACCTTGAGCGCATAAATCTGCGCAGTCACTATTTTTTGGAATATCACCCGTCGTCAAGCAATGTTGACTGTTGCGACACTGGGCGTGGCTTCATTATTCAGCGGATAATAGTGCTTTTTAACAAATGTTTCTTAACGAATCAGATTAATTCATCTAATATACCTGAAAGTACAATATTAATTAATTGTCATCATTTTCCTATACATGTATTAGCATTTTTACTGGTAATGGTTTTGAAATGATAGGAACATGCACTGTTCAAAAAGTCTTAAAATGTTGTTTTGGCTCAATTTCTTTGTTAGATTACTGTGTTGAACTAAGGCAGGTTAATTAAAGTAACATGATCCGATAGATTCCATGTACATTTAGTACTGTAAAGTAGACAAATTTATTGTTCTCACAAGTAGTTCTCAAACATTGATTTAAGTTGGTCTCCTGAAGGATGTAATAATGCAATTGGTCTGCTTAAGGTACAGTGTATAATATAGACATGCATATTTTATTTTGAATTTGTATTATGTCAATTATTAGAAATATATGGATCTTAATTAAAAAACATTGTTTTCATTAGAATTTAAGATATGTATAATAGGCATATATTCTTCATGCTTTTCCATAGTTAAGTCCTTTTTTACAGGGTCTCTGCTAGAATCATGTGGACCCCAGTGTAACAAATCTATGGAAAGAGAGAAAATCTCAGCTCAAGGTCAACATGTCTTTATTCCAAGAAAGGTAAATTGATAATTTTTTCTGCTAAAATACTCTTTTATAAAATTATAATATCAATGCAAAAGAGTGAACAAACAATGTACCTAACAACATTTTGAAAATGAAAGTGCAATAACAGTTAATAATTATGATCAATCGAATGAATGTTAATAATCCAATCAAAGTCCTTGTTGTATATCATTTTTGCTAGGGCTGTGTATTGAGCAAAAAAAAAAAAGAAAGAAAGAAAGACATTTTTTAATGCGATATGCAATATATTGAATTCTTTAACAATTCTATCAAAAAAGTCTTATAAATCATTATGCATGAATTTTATAAAAATAATAATTGTTTTTTTCTCATTTTTAATTTTTTGTCTCACCGTCTTTAAAAATTACACTTCATTTTCAAACTTTTCTTGACTGTAAAATCAACATGTTAAGTAAAGTTGTATGTATTTTTATGATTTTGTAATAATCATTTAAGATGTGCTACCTCCTTAATGATTATATCATTTTTGATCAGTTTTAATTCAAAACAATTACCGGTAAATATAATCTTTGGTGATTGAAATTCCCAAGTTTTTCACAGAATTACATAAAAAAAACTGCCTGCCCAAAATGTATTGGAATTAAGTTATTTTTAGCTCACCTGAGCCAAAGGCTCAAGTGAGCTTTTCTGATCAAAATTTGTCCGTTGTCTGTCGTCGTTGTCGTAAACTTTTCACATTTTCATCTTCTTCTCAAGAACCACTGGGCCAATTTCAACCAAACTTGTCACAAAGCATCCTTGGGTAAAGGGGATTCAAGTTTGTTCAAATGAAGGGCCACACCCTCTTTCAAGGGGAGATAATTAAGAATTAGTGAAAATTTAGTGGCATCTTTTAAAAATCTTCTTCTCAAGAACCACTGGGCTGTAAAAGTTGAAACTTAGGTGAGACCTTCATTACATAGTGTAGATTCAAGTTTGTTCAAATCATGACCCCCTGGGGTAGGGTGGAGCCACAATGGGGGATCAAAGTTTTACATAGAAATATGTAGGACAAATCTTGAAATTGTTTTTCTTAAAAACAACAAAGCCACAATTAGTCATAATTTATATGGAAGCATCCTCAGGTAGTGTAGATTCAAGTTTGTACAAAATCATGACCCCCGGGCAGGGGGGGGGGGCACAATGGGGGATCAAAATTTTACATAGGAATTTATAGAAAAAAAATCTTTAAAAACCTTTCTCTCAAGAACAACAAAGCAACAATTAGTCATTTTGATATGGAATCATTCTCATGTAGTGTAGATTAAATTTTGTACAAATCATGACCCCCAGGGGTAGGGTGGGGCCACAATGGGGGATCAAAATTTTACATAGGAATATACAGAAAAAAAAAATTGAAAAATCTTCTTCTCAAGAACAGCAAAGCCTCGTTAAGTCATATTGATATGGAAGCATTCTCAGATAGTGTAGATTTAAATTTGTTCAAATCATGACCCCCAGGGTTAGGGTGGTGCCACAATTGAGGATCAAAGTTTTACATAGGAATACATAGGAAAAAATTCAAAAATCTTCTTCTCAAGAACAGCAAAGTCATGTTTTGTCATACTGATATGGAAGCTTCCTCAGGTAGTGTAGATTCAAGTTTTTTCAAATCATGACCCCTGGGGGTAGGGTGGGGCCACAATGGGGGATCATAGTTTTACATAAAAATATATAGGGAAAAAAAACTTGAAAAATCTTCTTCTCAGGAACAGCAAAGCCATGTTTTGTCATATTGATATGGAAGCTTCCTCAGGTAGTGTAGATTCAAGTTTGTTCAAATCATGACCCCTGGGGGTAGGGTGGGACCACAATGGGGGATCATAGTTTTCCATAGGAATACATAGGAAAAAACTTCAAAAATCTTCTTCTCAAGAACAGCAAAGTCATGTTTTGTCATACTGATATGGAAGCATCTTCAGGTAGTGTAGATTCAAGTTTGTTCAAATCATAAACCCCAGGGGTAGGGTGGGGCCACAATGTGGGATCAAATTTTTACATAGGAATATATAGGAAAAAATCTTTTCATCAACAGAAAAGCCATGTTTAGTCATATTGATATGGAAGCATCCTCAGGTAGTGTAGATTCAAGTTTGTTCAAATGATGGAAGGGGGGGGGTTAGGGAGGGTCCACTATGGGGAATCAAATTTTTAACAAGGGAATATATAGGAAAAAAATCTTTAAAAATCTTCTGCTCAAGAACAGTAAAGCCATTTGTTATATTGATATGGAAGCATCCTCAGGTAGTTCAAAATCCAGGCCCCCTCCCCTTTAAACTTTTCAATACTGAAGTGATTTGTGCTTTTTCCTAGCCAATGTGCTCAGGTGAGCATTGTTGCCCATGGGCCTCTTGTTTTTGATACGATATATTCATTAATCTAGATATGTATCGATATACAGGTAAACTTCGGTATCTCGAACACCAGTATGTCAAATACCACGGATATCTCGAAGTGAATCAACGGTCCCAGCCGTTTTTATTATATTTATGATTTTAAAAAACCCCGGTATCTCGAACACGGAAATCTCGAATACCTCGCTTATCTCGAAGTAGATTTACGGTCCCAAGTGCTATAAACACATGCGTTATCTCGAAGTCCAACAAATTCTCGCTCCACTGAATTCACACCTTAGTACACAATAATCCCATTATGCTAATTTTACGGTCTGTTGAACATTTCCGTTAGGTCTAGCACAGGCTTCATGGGACCATTGCTGATAATCACACCTTATTAGTCCCAAGCTGTTGTTTTTGGTAGTTAAATTTAATTACGCAGGCCAGGTGATTTGGAGGTGTTAATAAAATGCACTCTCAGAGATACTACGACACGATAATGAAACAGCAGCTTGGGGACGATTACTGTACTAGAAATTTAAATTATCGAAAATACACGCTTATACACATCATTACATATCAAAGTAAACACTGAACACATCAAAGTGATATTGACCTCAAGAAATTAAACAATTAAAGACATTATTTTGAGTATAAAAGTCAGTACCAAAAATCAAATCTTCAGTAAATATCATGTCCGATAAGGCAGTCTAACGAAGGACCCGGTAGCCAACCAGGGGGAATAGTTAGATTATTTGACCGTAGTGGAAAAAGAAAACTTATAGTCCATACAATCGAAACAAAGTTTGCTTTTGTTTATTCATATTGGCAATTTCAATAAATTATTGTAGAACGATAATTCCTGTTGTTACATTTAGGCATGTGGGTACATGTATATGTACATATCCTGTTAAAGTCTTTGTGTATCACATTATATCATGATATACTTCAGACAAATTAGTACACCCGTAGTTTTGAATACAATTCATACATTGATTTCATTTGCCACAATGGTCTCTTTAATATTGCAATAATGCATTTGGTCTTCCTAATGCATGTATAATGCAGGTACTGTATATATTCTATGTCCAGCTTATAGGTGAGTCATAAAAAGATTAGTATTTTGAAACCAGGTTAAAACATCAGAGCATTGATTTGAAATTGTCAATTGATTCTGGCAAAAAGTTGTACCAATTTATAAGCGGGTCAATAGC